CCAAATCCCAATCCCCATTGGTGGTACACTGACACTGTCAAGATCTCCGTTTGAATCACCACCAAGAAATAAAATTAAAAGTTAGTTTTCTTCCTATGGTGTCATATATCCAGCCTTTTTGGTCAAATACATATAATAATAATACGTCTATCTTGTACTCAGTAGGAAAAAGGCCTACCCCGACGAATATGAAAATGTTGAACCCTGTTAATAAGATTCCTTTATTAATCTTTGGCCAATGTTGCGCCTTGAGGGTGAGGGAATATCAGCACCGTTGAACCTGCTCTAACGACCACCTGTATAAGACAATCACTAATACAAACAGCCACTTCCCATCCACCTCCCCCCACCCCCCTGCGTTAAAAAAGGACTCTGTGTAAGACGATCCCCTGCCCCAGGCGTCCCTTTTCCTCCAAGACAATGGATGTCCTTCCTAAGAAGTGTCATCGATGGTAAAGGTGAAACTGAGGCAGATGTAAAAGCAAGAACCGCCCAGGGAAGTTCAGCATTTAAGCAATTATCAAAAGTCTGGAATTCAAGCTACATCTCACTGCGTACCAAGATTCGACTCTTTAATTCCAACGTCAAGTCTGTGCTCCTCTGCGGCTGCGAAACTTTGAAGACACCAAAGACAGTGCTGAATAAAGTCCAGACTTTCATTAACAGATGTAAGAGGAGTATCCTAAGAATTAAGTGGTAGGATAGAATAAGAAATGAAGAGCGGTGAGAAAGGACAGGACAAAAGGAGATAGAAGCACAAATAGGACTAAGAAACTGGCGATGGATGGGACACACTATCAGAAAGCCCAGCGGAAACATCACAAGACAGTCGATGCAATGGAACCCACAAGGAGTACAAGGCAGGGGTAGGCCACGGGAAACATGGAGGAGATGTGTGTAGAGGGACATGAGAGAGATGAAGCTCACTTGGAACAAGCTTGGAAGGATGGCTCAGGACAGAGGTGAATGGAATGAGCTTGCATGTGGCCTATACCCTGCCAGGGGTGAACGGCATTGATGATGATGATGGTGATGATGATGATGATGATGATGATGATGATGATGATGATGATGATGATGATG